TGAGATTACAAAATATTAATGTTTAAAATCCCACCAGCATGTCTTCCCATGAGGAAGCAAAGCCCTGGGTCAGACTCTCCAATCTCTGGTGCCAAGGTCACTGAGGTGGTTAAAAAGCTCCTTGGTGACAGGGCGCCAGGGGTGGATGAGATTCACCCAGAGTTTCTTRAGGGAGAGGAGAGTCCATCAGATAGTTGAATCTCAGATTCAGGAAGAGCAGTGTGGTTTTGGTCCTGGTTGCGGAACAGTGGACCAGCTCTACATCCTCAGCAGAGTCATGGAGGGTGCATGGGAGTTCGGCCAACCAGTCTACATGTGTTTTGTGGAGTTGGAGAAGGCGTTCGACGGTGTCCCTCAGGGACTCCTGTGGGGGGGTACCGTTGATACGGGCTGTTAGGTCCCTGTATGACCGGTGCCAGAGCTTGGTCCACATTGCTGGTAGGAAGTCGGACTTGTTTCCGGTGAGAGTTGGACTCCGCCAAGGTTGCCCTTTTACACCGATTCTGTTCATAACTTTTATGGACAGAATTTCTAGGCGCAGCCAAGGTGTTGAGGGGATCTTTTTTTTTAACTCTTAAGGACAGAATTTCTAGGCGCAGCCAAGGTGTTGAGGGGATCCATTCTGGTGACCTCAGGATCGCAGCTCTGCTTTTTGTGGATGATGTGGTCCTATTGGCTTCATCAGATCGTGATCTCCAGCTCTCACTGGAGTGGTTCACAGCTGAGTGTAAAGCGGCTGGGATGAGGATCAGTGCCTCCAAATCTGAGTCCATAGTCTTGAGCCGGTAAAGAGTAGGGTGCCTTTTCTGGGTCAGTGAAGAGGTTCTGCCCCAAGTCAAGGAGTTGTATCTCTGCGTCTTGTTCATGAATGAGGGAAGAATGGAGCGAGAAATCGACAGGTGGATTGGTGCTGTGTCTGCAGAGATGCGGGAGCTGAGCCAGAAGGTGAAGCTCACAATTTATCGGCCAGTCTATGTTCCTACCCTCATCTATGGCCATGAGCTTATAGTGACAAAGGAGTTTCTATAGAAATGGAGTGCGCAAAAACCCACGTGACCGTGTGATCAGCTGGTGAAGCTAACGGCTAATGCAAAATGGGCAAGACTCTGGATTTCCCAATAC